CCAGGGTCAGCAAGCCAGACCTGAGCTTCAGCTTCTACGGCCCCTCGGTACATGAGCCCCACACAAACTAAGGCCTTACAAGGGATGATTGGGATCATCCGTGCTTGTTGGGCCTTGTGAATTAAGCTTGACCCCATGGAAGTTCTAGGAGAATAGTTAGAATCACAGTGGTGACACATGACAAGCAGAAGGAACAAGCTGGGCCTGTTAGGGTTGAGGGTTCATGCCCTGTAGGTGAAACTACATTGTAAATGATCAAGCTCCAGATACTTGATTGGAGCTCATAAGACGATACCTGCCTTTGGTAAGTTTCTGGTAGTTGACATACGAGCTAGAGTCTAAACCACCAGTAACTCCTATAACAGTTCCCTACGTAATCCTCTTAAGAAGTGTAGACTATATAGCTCATATGGTAGAACCGTCTGGGCTTCTGAGAAGCAAGTCTGCAGACGACTTGTCAGGGAATTTTTTCTAAAATTCTTTGGGCCGTATCCTTTAATTCCAAGTGCGGGGGGTTCCTAAAATTAGGGGTTCCTTTTTGGGGGTCACCATAACTAGGAGTAGAGTATACGGGAGTCTATATTGGGGTCCCCTTATTTAGGGAAACTACGAAATGGTCCCTACCTTCTTCTTATGTTAGCGCTGGAAACTCCACTTACATCCCAGGCGCGGCCGTTGGCTTGACAAGTTTCCATACTTAAAGAATTACAGGCCATGGTCACAGGACGCTGTTGAACGTGTTTCGGCTCAAGGTTCCTAGCAGAATCCGGATGATTCCCTATGAGTCCGTCCCCCAAACTCGGAGAACCCAGGGAGCCTTAAAGAGGCCTCTCTGTTTACTTGTCTGCCCCTGCGATTGCTACAGGGGGCCCTCTTTTGTGGGAGATTCTGACAAGGTAGTAAAACTGGCAAATATAACCCGTAAACCCCCAACCCTGAATCCAGGTTTCTACATCTACATCAGGGGTGCTAAAACGGAAACACGCCAACATTTGATGGTGTCATACCGGGGTCTCTCCAGTGCTGGAATTCCATATGAACTATGTGTTGCTTTAAGCTAGAGATTCTGCTTCTGGAGGGGTGGCGGGGGGAAAGCTACCTTGGGCAGCGGAGCAAGGGTTCCAAGATAAGATGCTCAAGGTCGATGACGCGCACCGCGCTGGTGGAGTCGCCGACAAACCTCAAAGCAGCAACTCTTGGGAAAGCACTGGCTCAGGGCTCAGGGTTATGTAACTACGTGCTCAATTTGAGACAGAGAGCCGGGAGCTTGGGGCAAGATTGCTTGTACTGAGGCCTTGGGACACAAAGCACTTCACCACAATACAGCAAGTTGTGTCTTCGCTCTTGCGCGCAGCTATCATGTCTTTCCTGCTCAGAACACCGGACAGTTCGGACTCCCAAAAGAACAGCTCACAAGTGCAAGTGCGAACGTAAACAGTCAATCCCTGAATTCACGATACATAAATCAAGTTCGGACCGTGGGGCAGTCGCTGTGCCGCAACATCGATGGCAAGGCCATCGGGGCGGTTAAGATGGGCCTGGAATCATAAGCATGATTCTGCGGGTTGAGAGAATTGGGCCGGGCATGACGATGATTTCCAATGCGGAAGCACCTTTCTGCTGGTGTCAGCTGAAGCCGAACTGCCACCGAGGAGCTTCCAAGGCAGGGCGCTTGTAGGGCGTGTCACCAAAGCTTCCGGGAACGCCTGCTCGAAATTGTCAGGGACGCATAACCAAAGGGCCGTTTAAAGGGATCAACATCACTCTCCATAATTATTCTCATGACCACCATCGCCCTCACCAGCATTCATCATCAATATCATTATCTGAAGCACTATCCTTTTCAGCATCATCATCATCACCCCCACCGTCGCCAGCGGTCAAAATTCCAACCACAACTCTGAGAAGCGGTGACAATCACGACTCATGGTCACGATGCTGACGGGCATGCCCCTTGTGATAAGATGCCTGCAGCGTGGCTTGAAATGCGCACCAACGCTGCAACTCCACAAAGAAAACCTTGATATGCTTGCAGATTGGACACTAATGTTCGCTTCACATGTGGGCTTCTCAAGTAGGAAGCCCTCCGGGATATAAGGGGATTTCGAAGGGGCTATGGGGTCCTTACTAAGGACTCGAGGATGTACCCTTAAGAAATTCCCACACGGAAGATGGTCAAAACTCGAGGATGTACCCTTAAGAAATTCCCACACGGAAGATGGTCAAAATGCTGGTCCTTCTCTGAGTACCCCCTATATCAAGGACCATATTACAACGGTAGCCCGAAAGGGATCATACTTTGAAGATCCCCCACATCGATTCACAGCCTTTGTTTTGCAGGCATGCGAATGGGCCTCGAACACCGACAACAACCTCGGCCCCAGCAGAGGCATTCATCAAGTCGACCATGTAGACAACGTGGTCAGCAAGGTCCTGAGTTGGTGTTTTCCACAAGCAAAGGCACATGAAACACTGTCAAGGCATGTGAAGCACTGTCATAATTGCTGTGTCCGAAGCTCGATATCCCTGAGTCATCACCGTAATCAAAATTCACAGCGGAACAGGAATGTAACCCCCATGTAGCCCTATTTATGTACCCTAAATTATCCGTTTTTAACCCCTATATATATATGTATATATGTATTCTGTATCAACATGCTATGAAGTTCGCGCCCAAGGCTCAGAAACATAAAGGAATTGATGCACCTGCACATGCAGGCGGACAAGCAGAAGCTGTTGCCCTCCCAAGTATGCATATCAGGAAAAACAAGCGCAATCTATCTACTGCTGATGGCAACGGCTTGTAGGATATGTCACTGATTTGACTTGAACCGTCTGGCACCTATGTCACGCCTCAACGCACCTTCTCGCTTCCGCGAAGTATTTTTTACTCAATAGAATACGGTACCGTACATAATGGTGCACCTCCAGCAACTCCGCAACCCTTCCGCGAAGCCATCCCCTTCCACAAACCTTCCGCGGCCACAGTCCGGAGCACATGTTTGAGATTGAACGCAAATTTTGTGTCGCCAACAAATGAAGTGAAGACAAGCTGACACAACAATGCTAATTTCTTGAGGTCTCGCTAGTTTTCCCCATGCCGAATCGTTGTCGGTTGTGCTCCAAGTCTGGGCAGAGAGCCGAAACATGCCCGAGCTATGCTGGCAAGTTGGTCCGCGAGCTGAAAGCCACGCTGTGTGCGCAGCAGAAAGCGCCGAAGGTGAGGCCAACTCGTTGGGTCCGCAGGACTGGTACAAAGCGGGTGAAAACCAAGAAGACGTACACTGGCTGCATGCCAGAGGACAGCAGATACGCGCAGTAGACGGAGCGAGAGGATGTCGAAAAAGAGATGTTCTTCTTGACACATCCACAGCATTGTTTCGAAGACTTGGTGGCAGATGGCGTTTGTGGCAAGCTGCATTTGCAGGTTTCTTGTTTTTGTTTTAGCCTGATTCGCAATCATGTCGTGACGGGAGCAGAAAACTTTGGAGTTTGATGTGCCATACTGATAACCATTGTTGTTGTTGCTGCTGCTGCTGCTGTTGCCAGTGGTTCTGTTAGTTTAAACATACAACTCGAGAGTGCGGTCGGAAGGCGTGGCCAGACCGACCCAGTTTTTTGCCTGCGCCACCTGCGCCACCTGCGCCACCTGCGCCGGCTCCGCGTTGCCACGCGCCAGCTGCACCGCCTGCGCC